ATTTGTTGCAAAGTAGACTAGTGTCACGAACAGTTCAGAAATTTGAGTGGTGTAGGTCAGGTTATACACTAGTCTGTCTTCCTACAAATCTTTGAGCACCCCAGGTATTTGCTCACTTTTCATCCTCTACAATAAAGAGCTATATAAAAAAGAAATTTAAAAAACATGAAATTGCTTTCATGACAAGACAAAGCATTTCGCAACTAATGAAATACTTTGAATTTAGTCACAAATGCAATGCAGAATTAATCTTTCACTTTGCTCTCTGGTTGAAAGAGACACTAATTTGTGCACTTCGAAACATAAAACTCTTGATTTTACTTTAATTAGATTTCGTACAGCAGTTGTTAGATGCCATTTGGAAGACTGCTGATTGATATCAAGCATCAACCAAAAGTACTTTATTTGATTTTGCAAATGCGTTGGAATATTCTGAGTATATGAGGAGTGCAATTTGATGTATGTTCTTCCTATCATTAGCCAGTCACGTTGGGGCACTCCCTGTCAACCTCATCAGTTCTGAGCTTCCACATGTTTTCCAACAAACACTTTAAGACTTCATCTTCTAATATAACACACTGAACTTGTAGCTTAGCCTTGTCAACCATTGTGATGCACTGTGTTCCCCCAACCTCGAGCAATGGTGACACTCCATCCTGCAGTAACCTAGGTCCTCCAATGCACTATCACCTCCCACCCCTATATGTTGAATTGTCCCCATATGCATTGTGCCTACAATTATCATGATTGATTTCCTCAAACTCCCTACCATAGTAATGGGTCCTGATAATCTGCCTTAAATTGACCCCCAAGACTGACTGTGGCCCACACCCCTGAATGACTTAGAAGAAAAGTCCTGATGTGTGAACAGACCCCAACTGATCTCTGAAGCTCCCTAACTAACTTAGTGCTAATCCTCTGCCTCTTTCCAGTGGACCTGCAGGACTGACCATGGCCCACACCTTAGGTGGTGATGATGCTGTCATGATGCGCTGGGAACAGCACACTGCAAATCATACCGCATTGTTCCCAGAATCATCACAAATGTGAAAATGTAATTATCAGAAATCCCAATTTCCCTGAATGACTGCTGCACAGTGCAAAAGCAAATCACACCAGGGTGCATCTGTAACAGTAACTATAACAACTGTAACAAGAACAGTGAAAGAAAATGATGTCTAATTTATGTATCTTACCCTTTCATCCATTTTAAAATTCTCATCCACACAGAGAAGCACAAAATGAAACAGACAAAAAACAAACACTATAAATGGAGGGGAAAATGATCCCACGAGAATAGTTCTGTATAGTTAGTGTAAATAATAACACTGGCTAGGTTAGTTTTACAATCTTTTGACTCTTCAATGATTAAACCATGTTAATCGCACAGTGATGATCAGTGTTTAGTTTACAAATTGGCTTGTTGGACCTGAAATCTTTCTTTTTTTTGGTTTATAGAATTATTTCTTTCAGCCTTTCTGAATGGAGCTTTTTTGGTCTTTTGACAGAAAATTAGAGAGAGTAATTTTACAGTGACAGTGGAGGGGGGGGGGGGGGTAGTGGGGGGGGGGGAGAGAGAGAGAGAGATTGATGCTGCAAACTCCCAGCTATTTCCTCGCTTCTCTGTTTTCATTTCCCCCATAGGGTCTGTGTTAAGCTGTGACTGAACCAATCAGAGGGTTGTTACTATGCTGACCCTATCTGATCCCACGACAAATGGTGCCAGCTCACTTGGGACTTAATATGCCCAAAATGTAACCCTGTGTAACTTGCAATAGATAGCTTCACTTCTTGTTCCAAACGGCAAACAATTCCTTTTCCACTCTCCCTTTTTTAAAAGCAATGCTCAGGTTTCCTATTTTCAGTTCATTGTCCAAATTAAAAGTTGTGGTCTCCTATGATCCTGACCCCTGACTCTCACTTTCCCAAGTACCTTGAGACACTATGCTTGAGATCAGATGGTGCCATGTGCAGGATTCCCTGACTGACAACCTTTACTTGACTAAGGACAAGTCCCCTGAGACTTTGAAAACTGCTATTTACTTAAAGTACACTAAGTGTGTTTGCCACATAGACTGCTGGCACATACTGCAGTTGCAATTTTTATGTAGCACAGTGCCATACAGCCACATGTCCACACCTTTGGTTGATCACTGAGGACAACCATGTCAAGCTGCCTGGCTTTGTACCTGCACTAAAAGACAAGGTAAGAGAGAAGTAGTGTAAGCCTATAAGTTCTGAATGAGGTGGAAAAGTGCAGCAGGCCCAGGCAAGGCAGGGCAAAGCAAGGCAGAGATGCAGTGAGCACCTAAGCAGGTGTAAAGTGAGTAAATGTTAATAGAGTAAGTGAATAACCTAAGATGCATCATGCCCTGATGCTTAAGGATGGTACTTGTCATTATGTGCCAAGTGATCTGACAGCAGCATTACAACATCAGGCATTGGTGCACTCCAAAGTGCAGAATTAAAGTGGATAACTATATCTTGAGTCAGAGGTATGCCATGATTCAATGAGGCTGGTGTATATTCAAAGCCAACCTTTTTCCACGTTGGGGAGAGGGAGGTTGAGATAATTGCAACCTCTGTGCCCTGAGGTGTTAGGAATTGCTAGCTGAGATGGAGATCCAGAGAAACTACCACATTCCCGGTTTGCCTTCCATGTTGGGAATTGTCACCGTCTAGTTTCTCTCCACCATGCGGAAGAATAGCAAACTATATAAGAAGGAAGTGAGATTAGAAATCACGAGAATAATGGTTCTCCTTGCTCATTCAAACCTTGCGTGCAAAAGCAGACTTTTTCATAGAGTCATACAGCATGGAAACACACCCTTCTGTCCAACCAGTCCACATTGAACATAATCCCAAACTGATTTAGTTCCACCTGTCTGCTCCTGGCCCATATCCCTCCGAACATTTCCTGTCCATGTATCTATCCAAACGTCTTTTAAACATTGTAATTGTACCCGCATCCACCACTTCCTTAGGACGTTCATCCCACACGCAAACCATTCCCATGTAAAAAATTTGCCTGTCATGTTTTTTTAAATCTCTTTCCTCTCATCATAAAAATGTGTCCCCTAGTCTTAAAATCCCCCATCCTAGGGAAAAGACAACTATCATTAATTCTATCTATACCTTTCATTATTTTATAAACTTCTATCAGGTTGCTTTTCAAACTCCTTTGCTCCAGTGGAAAAGAGTCCCAGCCTATCCACCATTCCTTTATAATTCAAACTTTCCATCCCTGGCAACATCCTGGTAAATCTCTTCTGAACTCTCTCCACCTTGATAATATCCTTCCTATAACTGGGCGAATAGAACTGCACACAGTATTCCAGAAGGGGCTTCACCAAAGTCCTGTACAACCTCAGCATGACTTTCCAACTCCTCTACTCAAAGGACTGAGCAATGAAGGCAAGTGTGCCAAATGTTTTTTTAGCCCTGTCTGTATGTGATGCAAACTTCAAGAATTATGTACATGCATCCCTAGGTCTGTCTGTTCTACAACCCTAACCAAGGCCCTACCATTAATTGTATAAGCCCTATCCTTGTTTGTCGTACTAAAATGCAATACCTCACATTTATTCAGATTGAACTCCATCTGCCATTTTTCAGCTCATTGACCCAATTGATCAAGATCCCTTTGTAATGTCAGAAAACCTTCTTCACTGCCTACTATGTCACCAATTTTGGTATCATCTGTAAATTTATTAACCATGCCTTCTACATTCTCAACCAAATCATTTATGTAAATGACAAATGAAAGAGGGCCCTCTCTTGACATCTCATTTATTTCATCTTTCCCAACTGACTTGCCTTTGCACATATTGTTCAGAGGCAGGAAGATTTAACTGACCAGCTGTGACTTAACCTCTCTTGCAGCAAATCTGAAGGAGATTTTTAACAATAGTCATCATAATGTTTTCCTTTACTTCTACTTCCAAAGTATAAATGTTTATACACATCTTTATCGATAGTAGATTTGCAAATAAACACATCAAAGTTCAATTAATTTAGACACAGACCTACTGGAGTCCCACAATCAAGTTTTGACCCAGCTCACAGATAAGCAAAGAGGGAAGGATTCACAAAGGTCAGCAGCAAGTTGTGATTCTCAGAAGGGCACCCTTCCCAATGTTCAGTCCCTTGGTAAAACATAGAATGCCTTTGATTGAGGTACCTCTCCCATTTCCCCCAAAGGTGACTAACCTGGCCACATGGTTTGGTTGCTAGGCATGCCTGATGGTGACAGCAGGATGAAGTAATTAACTGGCTGCATAGGCGTCTCAGTTGACTGGGGGCAGTAAGATCAATCATGGGCCTTTCTCTGGCAGATGTAGAAAGGCAGTTGGGATTAGAAACACCACCATCCCACCTTATCAAATGTTCTTACTGTAGCAAGTTTGCCAGCAGAGAGAGCAGAAGGCACTGCACATAGTCTACAGGGTAATGCAGAGTTGTTCCACCCAATCAAGATAGCAAAGGATGGTCATTCTGCTAGACACAGATTGTTCAAATCTTCTGCTACTGTTTTAAAAATTCTTAGTGGATTGGCTCATGAAAGATCGTGGGGTGGGATGTTTGCCATGCTTGAAGAGCTCGGGTGGAACATAGAACATAGAACATAGAACAGTATAGGCCCTTCGGCCCACAATGTTGTGCCGACCTATTATCCTACTCTAAGATCAAACTACCCTGCAGGTGACTTAGAAATGATGAATGCATTCTTACAACTTGCAGTTCTGTCCCAAGAGACATTATTCGACACATCCCAAAATCAGTTACTTTATCTTCCTGAGTACTGTCCTTTGTACTTTTTCAACATAATTTCTAGTTTGAATTCCAGTGGCTTTTAATTAAATCATTAATATTGGACTTTGTCAAAGGCTTTTCCAAAAATTGAAGTATTTTACTATCCATGCTATCTATTTAAAATGTCCTCAAAGAATTTTGTTGTTTTGGTAACAAAACACAAACTGCTGTATTTTTCCTTTTCATACCTCTTTTTGCAATGTGATCAAATTTGACTCCATTTCATGTTTATTTGGCACATCTTTGCGAACTTTTTCAATTTGTCTCTTTTCCTCTTTCAGTAGAATATTCAAGAATCGTATTTCATCCTCCATACTGTGTAATTCCACATCTCCATTACTAATCAATAAGTCCTGAATGCTTAGCTTCTCATAGAAAATGCAAACTTCCTCTTCTCTTTCAATCAAATGTATTCCCCTGCAAGCAAAACAAAATACAACACTGCATCAAAGAGTCATAGTTATAGAATTGTACAGCACAGAAACAAGCCCTTCGGTCCAACTTGTCCATATTGACCAGATATTCTAAATTAATCTAGCCCCATTTGCCAGCATTTGGCTCATATCCCTCTAAACCCTTCTTATTTATATACCCACACATAGGCAGCCTTGCTGACCTTTAAGGGGTCCTACTCTCCCTAGTTTTTCTTTTGTCCTTTGCTACTGCATTGTAGTGGCATGAAACACCTTGTTTCACCTGTTGCTCAAGTTTTTGAGGTAGAAGTAAGGTAAAATTGCCATAGTTTTTAACAGACCGTAGGTTTTTTTAATGTGTAGGATGTGGGGGTCACTAGCTTAAGTATTCTTAAGTGTCCTTAAAGTATTATGAAAGCTATATCATGTCTCCTTTTTGCCCCCTGATTTCCTTCTTTAGTATACTCCTACTGCCCTTATACTCTTCTAGCGATTAACTTGATCCCTGCGGTCTATACCTGACATATGCTTCCTTCTCTTCCTTGACCAGAGCCTCAACTTCTCTCGTAATCCAGCAAACCCTACACCTACCAGCCTTGCCTCAGAATATTGTTTTCTTCTTTCTCCTTTCTCCTTTGCATAGTTGATTGTTACAGTTGTTTTTAGTCAAATAGAAACAACTAGACATCAGCTTGACATATTCTGTTGGAGAATCAATTGGTTTTCTATGGCATTGCTCATGGACACTTTTGAAATTATACTTACTGTTTTGTTATTAGATCTATTGTTGCATTCCTTGGGGGAGAACATATGTTTTGGCATGTAGTTATGTTGTTTGTATTGAATGTAGTGGCATTGAAACAGGAGTGCTTCTTCCATGTTCACATTTATCTAACTTCACAAACTGCTTTGAGATTCAAGTAACCCTACGCCTAAAACAAAGTGTCACTGGACCCAAAATGTTAACTCTATTTTCTCTCCGCAGATGCTGCCAGACCTGCTGAATTTTCCCAGAAATTTCTGTTTTTGTTTTTGTTTTCCAAAATTTGCAGTTCTTCTGTTTCTTTTTACTTAATCCTATATTCGAAATACTTTGCTTCCGGTTAGTAACACTACAACATCTTTTATCATTGTGCTCAAAAATTAAAATTATCCAATATTCCAAATTTAGTCATGTATATAGCACAGCACTGAAACTATTTAAATTATTTGGATCTCTCCACAAGTACTTTTTTTCCAGATGTCCATTTACACAGATCTCATTGTATTAATAAAATACAAATCACCACCTGGTACAGAAAAAAAAAGACACAGTTTGTTGTAGCTTTTCATCTTGTATTTATCAGGACAAGGTATCTCAAAATCTGGTTTGCAATGCAAAGGGATGACAACAGAATAGGTTCAATTCCTGCATTGGCTGAGGTTAGCATGAAGGACTCTCCTCAATCTCTCCCCTTTCCTGAGGTGTGGGTACTCTCAGGTTAAACCACCACCAGTCATCTCTATCTCACAAGATAGCAGACCAAGAGCAACTAGGGATGGGCAATAAATGCTGGCCAACTAGTGACCCCCACATCCTACACATTAAAAAAACCTATGGTCTGTTAAAAACTATGACAATTTTACCTTACTTCTACCTCAGAAACTTGAGCAACAGGTGAAACAAGCTGTTTCATGCCACTACGATGCAGTAGCAAAGTGAATGGTGTTTTCCACAAAAAGGATTCTGCTATCAAGTCAAACAGACATTCCCCTTCCACATGACTGAGTTACGTGGTATCTGAATTTCAATGCCACTGTGAGGCCAAACATTGCAAAGACTGGCAGATCATGTCAGACAGCATATCCCTTCAGCTATTTGCAACAAGCAAGGTATTGACTGTACGCAATCAGCCCATACTTGCAAAACTTGCAACACAGTGTCCAACATCAGATGTGATTCCACAATTAGACAGCATTTGTTAAATAACATTGAGTGTTCAAAAATTATGCTGACATTGATTTAAGATTGTCAGCTGGGCATGCCGTGTGGCACAAGAGTGTACTGGAAGTTATATATATATTAATATACAAAGCCCTGTTTTCTGCAAACAGAAAGAACATACACACATGCTGTGCCTGTTTCAAATAAACAAAATAGGTGACAGCCATTCCATAGTTCATTAATGATTTGACTAATAAGAACTAACCTGCCTAATTAAAATTTAACCGGTGCATTCCCCATGGCAAAGTCTTGACCTCTCAGTTTACTTGTCAACCAATCAGCACGTTTTTCTCATACAGTATAAATGTTGTTTTCCCTTTATTTTCGTATTTCTTGGCAAGTGCAGATGAAAAGCTTCAATAAAATGTCTTTTTTTTCAACAATTAAAGGCAATTTTCCAACCAACATTGAAAATGCTGTACATTTACAAGAAACTAATACTTAAAGGACAGAGATAGTAGGAACTGCAGATGCTGGAGAATCCGAGACAACAAGGTGCAGGGCTGGATGAACACAGCAGGCCAAGCAGCATCATAGGAGCAGAGAGGCTGACGTTTCGGGCCTAGACCCTTCATCAGAAAAGGGGGAGGGGAAGGGGGTTTTGAAATAAATAGGGAGAGAGTGGGAGGCGGATAGAAGAGGGATACAGGAGAGGATAGGTGGAGAGGAAACAAACAGGTCGAAGAGGCGGGGATGGAGCCAGTAAAGGTGAGTGTAGGTAGGGAGTTAGGAAGGGGATAGGTCAGTCCAGGGAGGACGGACAGGTCAAGGGGGC